CTCCACATCGGGGAAAGCAGCGTGCTCAGCGCTGCCAGGTGTACACTCCCCCTTACCCGTCTGCAGCACAACACAGTTTGGGTGCACGCTTTGTGTGCCCTAGGGAATGGTCCGCATCCGTGGCCCCGGGAGGGTGGGGTGAGCAGCACGGGTTGGGCAGACCACAGGAACCCAGGGATACCCGGCTCAGGAACAAGACTGCTACCTGGGGTCAGATGAGCTAGCAGGGCCGATTCACCCCATGGCTTGCGGCCTAGCAGCTGGGTCTGCTCTGGCCTTCCTGGGGCATGCCCCCTCTCCCCACATGGCCAGACTCCTAACCCCAGAGGGCATGCCATGCTACCCGCTCCCACCCCCTTCTGCAGCCAGGGTGACCACAAGCCCAACCAAGGAGGTGCTAGAAAGGATTCTGTCCGGATGGTGGAGGAGCCCCTTCCCCACCTCCTCCCCCGTCCACAGTGTCTGCCCAGAACGCTGCAGCCCAAATCCTTACTGGTGTCTCTGTGCCCCGGGAACACCCACCACTGGCTGCCGGCTCTGTACACACCAGACTCCTGGCACCCAGCCTCAGTGTTTCCTGCCTGCGTGCTTCCTGTCCCTCTGGTGGGCCTCCTCTGCATGGGGACCATTGTCTGCTGACCAGGGTCTCCCTGACCTGACTGGGGCAGATGCTCATGGGGTCAGGGCTGTGACTCACACCCCAGTGTCTGCATCTGGTGCTGTGAGAGGCCTCTGAGGTGTCCCCAGCGCATGGCGCCCCATAGACCCTGGGGTCAGCCTTGCTGATTTCTAGAAAGGGCCTCCAGGCCTTTCCTTAGTTCACCCTCGTCTAGAGGCACCAAGACATTTGTTGAGGACCTCCCAGCACACAGGCCTCCGCTCACAGAGTGGGTGACCATGACACACGCGGGGCACTGATGGGAATGGGGCCCAGGGCTCCCACACAGGAGGGGAGAATTTTACCATTGACCCCTGTCCCCATGGTCCCCTGCCCCCCAGACCTCCCCAACGCCTGGTCCCCAGTACACTTGTAGCCCCAACAGCCCCTGGCTGGTCTCCACCACCCTGTCCCTACCACCCCTCACCCTGACCACCCCCAGTGCCCACACACTCAGCCCTGGCTGCCCCACTGCCCCCAACCTCCACCATACCTGACCCCATCCCCCACTGCCCCACCCCCGGAGCCCAGCAAAGGGGCAGGGTGGAGCTGCGAGTCGAAGTTTATTCCTGATCGCTGAGGGGCCTCCAGCACACAGCCCCACGGGCCAGTAGCAGGCAGTGGAGCTAGGGTTCTCTCTGGGGTCTGTGCTGAGGGCTCGGGAACCCCCACAGCCTGCGGAGGACAGGACAAGGTCCCTGCAGAGAACTGGTCACCTGCATGGCGCAGTTTCCAGTCAGAACTGACCGACCGTGGTGAAATGACACACCAGAGCCCCCGGGGGAGCCTCCTCACTTGGCGCCAGCTGGAGCCCACGTGGTCCTGATGATGTCCATGGTGGGCAGAGCCTGTCGCCCTGGGCTTGTCCAGACCTCCATGGTGGGCGGGGGCTGAGAGTAGGCACAGCCTGCTGGCATTCGGCAGGGTCCAGTGGTGGTGGTGGGCGAGGCCTGGCGGCTGTGTCTTGCAGGCTGTGGGCAGTTTGGCGTCCGTGGCGGGGCAGGGGAAGGAGTCGGGCTGCAGGGTGCGTCATGCACCCCCGGGTGGGCAGAGTCTGGTGCCCATTGTGGGCGTGTCCTGTATCAGCCCGGGCCTGGCGTCCACCATGACCTGTGGGCAGTGGGCACTATCCCGCACTCCAAGCGGGAGGAGTCTGGTGCGGTGGTGGGCGTGTCCTGTAGATGGTAAGAGCAGCCCGGTCAGCGGCTGTGTTCCTCCGTAGCTGCAGTGGGCGTGCCCTGCTGTCACCTCCCGCGGGTGGTGAGCGTGTCCTGCAGGCAGAGGGCGGAGCCTGGTGTTTGCAGTGGCCGTGTACTGGGGGCAGCAGGCGGGGCCTGGCGCCTGTGGTGGGCGGGGCCTGGCGCCGGCGGCAGGTAGTGGGCGGGGCCTAGACGGCGGACTTGGCGATGAGCTTCTCGAGCAGGCTCATCATGCGCTCCTGCAGCTGCAGGCTCTGCATCTGCAGGATGTTCTGCTGGTCGAGCACGCGGCGCACCTCGCGGCACGTCTCCTCGACGGCGCGGCTCAGCTTGCGCTGCTCCTCCAGCATGGCCTCCAGCAGCCGCAGCTTCTTCTTCTGGAACGGGCAGCTCCGCACCTTGCGCTTCTTGGCGGGCCGCTCCTCCGACCTGCAACGGCACACCGGGCTACTCATACGGGGGCGGCGGGGAGTGTCCCCCGGCAAGCGCATGCGCTGGTGAGCACGGTCATGCCCGCCATAAGTCGCATCGGAACCCCCCTGCGACAGGCGTGTGCTGGCCTAGCCCTTAACCACATGATGGAGCCCCCTGAGGCATGCACGTGTGTCAGCTATCAGACTGTGTGCTGGGCTGAAATGTGCATGTGCTGCTCTCCCACACACGTGCCAACCATGAGGCACACATGGGCCGTGCGGCGCCCCTGAGGCATTGGCCAGAGCCACGTGTGGCCCAGCCACCCCACCGAGGTGGCCTCATCTCACGCTCCAGTGGACAGGCAGGGAAACGGAGGCTCCAGCGAGCTGGTGCAGGTGTGGGAGGAGGGCCAGCGCAGTGTCCACCTCCCCCAGGGGTCAGCAGCCACCACTGTGCCCTGGGGACAGAGGACAAAGCCACCCCACAGGGAGGGGGTGTCTCCAGACAGCAGAAAGGGGCTCATGGGGCACAACTACGAACAAGCAGCCATGAGACCCCAACCCCAGTCAGGGCAACTGCCCCAGTCCAGGGGGATGGAACGGGGTGGGGTGGGGGTGCTCACGGGTGACAAGGACACTGGGAGAGACCAGGAAGGGTACTGGGCAGTGTGGCACTTGGGGGTCCTATCAGGAAACCCGTGGCTACCCCATTCCCTGCAGCCCTGGACCCACGGGGAAGCTGAGGCCCCAGGCTCACCCCTGGTGGGAGAGAGGCTGTGCACCGTGGGGGTCTGGGGGAGGGGTGCAGCCTGAACACTGCCGAATCCTCACAGCATTTCCTCCTGGGGGGGGGGGGGCTAGAGCAAACTTCGTCCTCAAAAGAGCGAGTCTGCCTGGCATGGCCGTGACTCCGGGGCGGCTGCCTGTCTGCCCTCTGCTTCGAGAGTTGCTGTGCCCGTCCTCCACTGGTGCAGTGCGCTCACCAGGCAGCACAGGGTATGCTGCGTCTACATGTTCAAGAGGCAGGAGGAGGGTGGGAGGCAGCCCCTCACTGGGGTCACAGCCCTGGTCTGATAACAAGGAGGTCCCCCACCCCCACCCCACCCCGTGTGGCCTCACAAGAGGTGGAAGGAGAGAGAAGCCAGTCGAGGAGGAGGGACCTACTGCCACCAGGAAGGAAGGGCTGGGAGCAGAGCAAGTCCTTTGGACCCAGGATCCCTGTGCTGGGAACCTCCTAGACCCAGAAGCAGACTGAGACCAAGACACACAGGGCAACGCAGGGGCTACAGATCCAGAGAAGAGGCCAGGACCTGCCCCCGGAGCTGACAGAGAGAAAGCCTCCCTGAGAGCTGGCCCCCCAGGAAAATGAATTTCTGTCTGTTAACACCCCCACGTGGAATTTCTGTAACAGCAGCACAAGATAAGGCAGACACCAGTCCAACGACCAGGTCCCCAGCCCCAGGCCTGTGACCCTGGCACGGCAGGGTGGCCCAGCCCTGGGCATCACCCCAGCAGTTGGGAGGGACTGGGAGATTGGGACACATCGTGAGGGTCCCACAACCCAACGCGTCAGCTCCTGCACACATCTGAAAGCCCACTCCAGATGCCCCCTCCAGAGGAGCGGGTCTTGCCAAAGGCCATGTTCTAGGGGGTGGGGCGGAACTGAGGGCAGACAGCCGAGCTCAGGAGGATATGGGAGGGGGGCATGGGGAGCAGGCCACGGCACACCTGGCGACAGGCCCTGTGACTCTGGCTGGGCAGGGACGCCGAGCGTGTCCTCTCCCGAGACACCCCCACCCACGGATACACCCAGCCTTGCCCTGAGAGAGCCCTGAGTGTCCCCAGAGCCCGGGAGCAGAGACTGAGGCCCAGAGAGGTCAGGGTCTTCGGCGGGGAAGCACACACCTGAGCTTAAGGGACAGTAAGCTGGAAGAGCTGTCAGAGCCGTGGTCCTCGCAGCGGGTTTCGTAGGAGAACTGGCTGTACGGGACGTACAGGGGGGTGGACTTAGCGGGCGGCGAGAGGGACGCCTCGGTCTGGGACGTGGAAGGCCCCGGCTGCTGGCTGTTGGGCAGCTTCCCGTCACAGGACTCGGGAGCCTTGGCCAGGATCCTATCAATGGCTGGGAAATAGGGCCAGTCGGGCGGAACTGACTCGCTATCTGTCATGCATTTTAATTTCCTGAAACGAGAGACACAAGAACCAAGGGTGAGACACAGCTGGGCCGGGGTCTGCGGGGACTCAGGGCCTGCGGCCAGAGGGTTCACAGGGGCAGCAGGCTTCAGGAGAAGCCCCGTCCATCGGGGAGGGAGGTGGTTGCCACGGGAGGGGCCTGGGAAGCCCCTGCAGGCTCTCTTTGGTGAGCCAGTTAGCTGGCAATGGTGAACTGTTGTCCAATGCAAATGCCCTGCCCTCGGTTCGATCCTGGCCCACAGGGACCGTCCAGGACAGGGTCAGACCTGACCCCTGTGGGTTTCCAAGACTGGAATTCCTGATGGAAGCAGAAAGCCTCCTCTTTCTCCCAGGGTGTGGCTCTGCTGACCTGGCCGAGCGAGCCGCCCAGTGGCAAACACAGCCCACCAGAGCCCACAGGGCAGACCACTGCCACGTACAGTGGTATGTAAGTGTAGCGGTGGTTAAGCTTACGAGGCCGTGGGCCGTGTTCTAAGGAGGGTCCTTAGGGTGGGGGGCGGCAGGGCTCAAGGGTGGGCTTTCCATCCAGCAGGCTGGAGGGAGTCTGCTCTGGGCTCAGCCAATGGCTGTGTGACCTCTCCGAGCCTCAATCTCCCCATCAGGAAAAGGGGGGTGTCTAAAGAGGGGCCCCTGACGTGGCCGCGGCTCTTTTGCAGGGGTCTGTGTCCCTGTGACCTTGATAATGCCCCCAGGTCATGGGGCTCAGTCCAAGCAGGACCCGTCAGACTAAGCTCGCGGCCCCCGGCCCGCTCCACCCTCCTCAGTCTCCATATATAAAGAGCACTTTCACAATAGTAAGAAAACACCTGCTGTAGGGGCGGGGGGTTTTCTGGGCATGTCCCCATTAGGGCCACGCAGCCTTGGGGCAGGCCCTCCCTGCACTGGGCCTCAGTTTCCCACGGGAGCTCTGAGGGGTGCCCACCCACTCCACGGCCATCAAGTGGAGTCCGACTCCGCGGGGCCCTAAGAGACAGAGTAGAACTGTTCTGCGGTTGCCGCGGCCTCATCTTTCCCTGCGGAGCGACCAAACAGACTCCATCTGTGCCCCACAAGGCCGCCAGGGCCTTCCTGGGGGTCAGTGAACAAAGCTGTGATATGGTGTGTGTGTGTGTGTGTGTGTATGTGTGTGTGTGTGTGTGTCCTGCTTCCTGAGGGCCAGCTCTGCTGCCCCCGTCCGGCTCCCGCACCCCCTGGTGTTCTCCTCTGGGGCGCAGCCCCCTCTGGGGCCCAGGCCAAGTCTTGGAGACCACACAGCCAACGTCCATCCCGAGGTGGGCGGCAGCTGTGCTGGTGTGCGCGCCCGGCTGCCTGATTTCCGTCCTTGCCCCTCTGCTCATGGGCTGGTGACGGTGCAGCCCCCTGGCTGGCTGTGCCGGGGGATGGAGATGCCCTCGGCCTCAGACGCACCGCACACTCAGGCACGTGTCCCTCTGGTCCTGCCCTTGCTGCCTCTCCCCTCGAGGTGGGGTGGGGGTCTCAAGTCTCTGCTGGGAGCCAGCTCAGGGCAGACACCTGGTCCTGACCATGGCCCCCCACCCCCAAGCCTGCCATGACCATGACACCCCACATTCACATGCCATCCCTGTCCCTCGTGACCCTCCACACTCATGAACCCCAACTTCATGACCTCTCTGTGCCCTTGTGACCCCTATCTGACCTCATGACCCCTCTGGGCCTAGTGAGTGTCCCCTCTGTGTGACATCCTCTCTAATGGGCCTGGGGCAGAGTCTGCACCTGGGGTCTGCCTGCACCCCCCTTTGCCCTGGTGCTAACCCAAAGAGCCTTCCCTGGGGGGCAAACAGCTGTCTACCTCTTACTTCCACCCATTCCCCCCACGACTGGACACCCCAGGACTGAACCAGGCCTGGCCTGAGAACTCCCAGGGCAACCAGGCCTCCTCCCTGCCAGCCTCAGTTTCCCCAGTAGCATGGGGGGGTCCAATGCCCATTGGGGTTGGCTGTGCAGAGCCAGCTCTGCACCAGGCCCAGCCCAGCTCAGGAGGGCCAGGCCTGGCCGGCACCAAGAAGGCCTGTCTCCCCGGCCTCAGTGCCCCACCCCCAAGGGGAGCTGCCTACGCTGAGAGTCAGGCAGGTGGGTGGCAGCTTTGGGACCCCTGCCTCCAGGAGAGGGCAGGGGACAGCCTTGGTCCTGGGCTGCTTCCTGGCAGGTTGGCATCGTGGGGCCAGTGTCCACAGCTGCCCTGGTGGACACCCCACTGGTCCTGGCCTCGGCCCGTACACAGTCATGCTGGGCTCTCACCTTGGCCTGGTCCCATGGTCACCTTAGTACTGGCCAGCCTGCCCCAGTCCTAGCCTCTTTCTGCACACGGTCATGCTGGTCCTGTGGTCACTTGGGCCCTGGCTGGCCTCCCGTCTTGGCCTCGCTCTGCCTGCACCTGCCTGGTCCCACCCCACGTCATGCAGGTACCAATCAGCCCACCTGTCCTGGACTCTCCCCACATGCACCTGCCCTGGTCCCATGGCCGCCTCAACCCCATCCCCATCCTGACCTGGCCCTGGAGTCCGCTTGGCATTGGCCAGCCTACCCCCCCACCCCCAACCCCCATCCAGGCCTCGCCCTGCCCCGTCCTGCGGTGGCATGGCCTTCCCCGCGCCAGCCACCCACCTGTCCTGGAAGGTCGTGCTGGGGGTCTTGATCCCAACCTCCCCACCTGCCCTGCCCCTGCTGGAGCCCTGGCCCGCCCTCGTCCTGGCGTCCCCCACGCCGGCCGCCCCACCTGTACTGGAAGGTCATGTTGGTGATCTTGATCTTGATCTCCTCGCCCAGCCGCCGCTCGCCGGTCATCTGGAAGAGCTTGCTGGCCATCTTCTCGTAGACGCGGGCGTTGCGCTTGGTCTGCTTGAGCTCCTCGAAGCACTCCTCCCACACGAGCATCAGCCCGCGCATCTCCGCGTCCGTCCAGTTGCGGGCGCGCCGGTGCTTCTCCGTCTGGGGGGACACAAGATAGCCGGGCACTTCGGCCGCTGCCATGGTGGAGGCACCTGCGGGGTTAAAAGGCAGACTCAGGCCGGGGCCCGCCCCCGGCCCCAGCCCTGCGGCTTGGCCACCACGGGCAGCGGGCAGCAGCGAGCGGCGAGCGGCTGGCCGTGGGCGCTGGGCTGGAAGGCAGCGCACTCAAAATGGGGCCCTACGTCTGACAGGCAGGAATTTAGTTAAAAGCTTTTAAACGGGAAACGTCATGTTGATGTCACGTTTCCATAGCAACAGAGCAACTGCATGAGCCACAACAACAAAAACCTTTTAACTGAAAACGCAGGAATCGGGGCAGGACCTCACGGGCCATCAATACTGCAGGGGGCGGGATCCAGAGGTGGCCCCGATTGCCCGACCGGGGCCCAGAGACAGCCCAACAGGGAGCTGGGGACGTGAGGCAGGGCGGGGATCCAAGAGAGAGGCAGGATGCTGGACAGCGGGAAGCAGGCAGACAGGCGGGGGAGAGGGAGATGGATATGAAGGGGGGACTTGAGGAGACCCCCCCCCAGTGCCCCTTGGCCTATGGCTCCATGCACAGCCCCACAGCTGGACTGTCATGTGTGGTGTCCCTAACCGAGGAGACCGGCCACGTGAGAGGCCACTCGGGTGTGGAGCCACGTGGCCCGAGCCAGCCAGCTCTGACTCTATTTCCCTCCTTGACAGTGGGCAGGGACAGGGGAGATGGGGCTGGGCTGTGACAGACATACACACACAGGCCGAGGCACAAACAAATGGGACATGTGCAGGGCAGGGCACACGCAACCAGGAGCACACAATCTAGGTGCACACAGGGTGGGCAGAGTCTAGGCACACACAGGTGGGCACAGTAAAGGTGCATGCAGGGTAGGCACACAGAGTCAAGGCGCACACAGGGTGGACACAGTCTAGGCACACGCAGGGTGGGCACAGAGTCTAGGCACACAAAGGTGGGCACAGTAAAGGTGCATGCAAGGTAGGCACACAGTCAAGGCGCACACAGGGTGGGCACACAGAGTCTAGACACACGCAGGGTGGGCACACAGAGTCTAGGTGCATGCAGGGTGGGCACACACAGAGTCTAGGCACACGCAGGGTGGGCAGAGTCTAGGTGCACGCAGGGTGGGCACACACAGGCTGAGCACATGCAGGTGACTTTTCAGCAGCAGTCAAGCACTGAATGACTGGGCCACCAGGACCCCTGTGGTAAAACACCACGCAGTTCACCGTCCTGACCACGTGGAGCGCACAGTTTCACAGGGTTGGTGCATTTGCCATCCCGTGCCCATCCTAAAGATCTTCCTTTTACAACCTAACCAGATGCCAAGGGTGCTAAAGAACTGGGACCCACACGCCCCTCTGCCCGGCACCAGGGCTCCGCTACTCGGACCTTGCACGGTCCTCACCCCCACCCTGCTGGTGACTGACCTGGGGGGTGAGACATCTGCCGAGGGCACCGTCACCCCGGCACATCCACACACTTCCCCTGATTCTGTTGGCACTGGGACCCTTCGCGGTCACTGAGCTTCCTGTGGAAACGGGAGACCTGGGGGTGCCGTTGCGAAGCGCTCGGCTGCGAACTGGGAGGTCGGCAGTGGGAACCCGGCTGCTACCCTGCTGGAGAAAGAGCCGGCTTTCGGCATCTGTAAGTATCTGCCGCCTCGGAACCCACAGGCACGGGCAGTCCCACTGCCCACAGGGTCACCGAGCCAGAACCGATTTGGTGCTGCTGGTGGCTCTTTAAGATCTATCAGTGTTGGGCTGCCAAAGGCAAGGTCAGTGGTTTGAATTACTGTTCCCTTCCAGGGTAGCAAGATGAGTCTGTTCACCATTTCAAAAAACCAGGGGGGCGCCCTACTCTGTCCAAAAGGGTCCCTCGTGGTCGGAACTGGCCCGACAGCAGGGAGTCTGAGGTTTAAACCTCTAACACGGCCTGTGCCAGTTCAATGGGTTTCAGGTGTACGGTCTGGTGATGCTGTTGTGAGGTGCATCATCGGTCCTGACCCACGGCCACCCGAACGCACAGCAGAACCAAGCACTGTCCAGCCCCGCACCATCCGGACGACGGGTCCTCTGCCTGAGTCCATGGTTGCAGGCAGTGCGGCCATCGTCTTGTCCAGGGTCTTCCTCATTTTCACTGCCCCTCCACTTGACCAAGCAGCACGTGCTTCTCCAGGGACATGCCTGTGGGAGTCACCTAATCTGGTGTCAATGTAAGGATTGGAGTGTAAGGGTGGAGTCTAGACTGTCAATCTGGAGATAGCCAATGAGACTTCTGTGGGCTTGGCCTTCCCCTGAGGATTCTGGGAAATCTGGTACTTCCTCGGAGGCGGAAGACACTTCTCTCTGCTACTTCCTGGGAGACACTGCAGAAGGCTAGCCACATGGACGCAACCAGACCTCAGAAGCTGGAGAAGCCACGGAGAGACCCCTGCCAGCGCTGAGATGCTTACAACGCCACTGGACCCAAAGACTTTCTACCCACTGGCTCGTGATCGTCCTGCATTTGGCTTCATTGCATGTGTTTCGTGAGTCTGAAGAGGAGTTTGTAGATTGGACATCTGAGCTAATATCGGACTTATGGACTTGATCTGGACTGGGCTGGGATGCTTTCTCCATGTTCAATTGCTCTTGTATGTAAATCTCCTTCTTATACACGTGTGTATGGACATGGACTTGCTTCTCTAGTCTACCCTGCCTCACACGTTGCCCAAAGTGTGTGTGAGATGAAGTCTCGTTATCTGTGCTTCTAAGGCGCATGGGGCAAATTTCTCCCGAGGCAGATGTGCCGGTGCCCTGGGCAGTCCGCAGCACTTCCAGCCTTCACCAGCCCTCCAAAGGCGTCCGTTCTCCCGCGGTCTTCCTGATTCAGGGCCCAGCTTTCGCGTGCCTGTGAGGTGACCGAGAACTCCCTGGCTGGGCAGGCCGTTCGGTCTTTTCATTCCGAGAATGAGACTCACTGTGGGCTCTCCACGGCAGCCCTTCCTCGTTTTGAGGGCGTACCCTTTTATGCCCATTTCTTTGTGGCGTTTCCACTCTTCCGTCCCTCTCCACTCTGATTTCTATCACGCCCTTCCTCCCGCATGCTTTGGGGTTACATCGCTCTTCCTCTGGTAGCTCCTTAAACCACAGTCCTGGTCTTTCTGCAGTGAGATATCTGTTCTTCTGTAAGACAGGCCTTTACACCTATGAATGTCTTTTTAAAAAACTCACTTTATTAGGGGCTCATACAGCTCATCACCATGCATCCATCCATCCATTGTGTCCAGCACATTTGTACACTCATTGCCCTCATCATTCTCAAAACATTTGCTCTCCATCAGCAACTCATCTGGCGCTCACCATAGTGCATGCTTTTTGCCTGATTGTGTTTAATTCCCACGTTTCTCTCGACTCTCCCGGGTCCTTACTGCTATCGGTTGGTAGTTTTGTCCCATTATGATCTGTTGGCCGGGGGTCATGAGTGGAACAACTTTATAAGCAGCCCTCCTCTAGG